AGATATAAAGCGATTTTGTCAGTGAATCAAAATTCCGTTCAAATTTGAACGGAAAACAGTCTAAGGGATAATTATAATTACAATTTAATTTTATTTCTCTTCCCAACTGACGTCATTCTCTGTTTCAGTTCTTAACGGCTATGCCAACGATGCCTCGTTTTATACTACCATGAGTTTTTGCCAAACCCCGTCACTTATAACACAATCTCCGGAATTTTTGACGCGGAAATTTCTCATTCGCTATTATTTGAGCACAAAGAATGTTGCCGATTCGGTAGAAGTTGGACACGAAATATTCGGTAAAGTTGATCTGATCTACTAGGAGATGTTACACCAGTGCGGCGTTAAAGATTGAATCGTCAGAAGAAAATCTATCTTAACCATGGCAGCTATATCGAAAGAGGCATTAGATAGTTCATCATCATCATTATCATCATCATCATCATCACCATCGTCGTCGTCACCTCACCCTCCCCCATCATCAGAACAACAACTATCACCATTGGGAAATGCCGTGGCAGGAGCCCTTGGGGCTTTATTTTCTCTAACAGTCACCTATCCCTTAGACATGTAAGCTAAACGAATGGTATTTGTGTGCCGTGTGCCAAATGGAATGACAGACATGTACCATGTCTGTATACGACAATGTATTCTAAAATAATTTATGAATATGTGTTGAACTGTACAGAAACTTTGCATTCTCACTTTTTTTAGCATAAAAACTCGCCTCCAGGTACAATCGAAATCCCTCTCATCAAGCACGCCATATTACAACTCGACTCTTGATGCCATACATCAAATCGTAAATTCCGAAGGCGTACTCGGTTTATACACAGGCCTACCAGCTGGTCTGATTGGCGTTGCATCGACCAATTTTGCGTATTTTTACTGGTATTCTTTTATCCGCACACGCTATCAACGGATGTACCCAACCATTTCTACTGCTGCCGAGCTGCTAGTAGGTGCTTTGGCTGCAATACTTGCTCAGATATTTACCATTCCAGTATCAGTGGTAACTACACGTCAACAAACAGCAAGTAAGGACGAGAGACGAGACTTGTTTGGGACAGCGGAAGAGATTATCAATGAAGATGGAATAACCGGATTATGGAAGGGGTTGAAACCATCCATGGTATTATGTGTAAATCCAGCCATTACTTACGGAATGTTTGAGCGAATGAAGTCAATTTTATCAAAAGATGGTGATCTTTCACCGAGAATGGCTTTCCTGATAGGTGCTTTGAGTAAGACTCTGGCAACTGTTGTGACGTATCCTTATATTATGGCAAAAGTGAGGTTACAGTGGAAATCACCGAAATCATTGGCAGAGGAGCGTGAAGACGAGACCAAACTCGAGGAAAGCGTATATGAAGATAGGTCGACGGAGAAGAGTAAGAGAGCATTCGGCAAGAAACAGAACGCAAGATACAACGGAGCAATAGACGTTTTGAAGAAAGTTTGGATTGCTGATGGATTTTTCGGTTGGTACAAGGTATGACCGGAGTTTGAGATGTGATCGTTGACTCGACACACTGCAGTCTCGTAAGGTGGCTAATTTTGTTTCATCTTTTCACCTTGTAGGGAATGCAGGCGCAAATTACCAAGGCTGTGTTGTCGCAGGCCCTATTATTTTGGGTTAAGGAATATACTACAAGATACACAATACTTTTGTTTGCGTTAGTTGCAAGATTAGCCGTTAATAAGCGGGTCACTTCACAAAAGGCTTAAGTTACTGGGTCACTACAGAGACTCATAGCGAAACCGTTGTACTAGAGAAAAACATTGACATTAGTCTTTCAAAAAGACATTATAATCGTAATTCCAGAGATTCAAAGTATGGTAATATTATTATCAAGAACATTCTTACACTGTACACACTTTTAAATGACATTATTCATTTCGAAATCTACAGTCAGATTTCGTCGAACGAGGCGATCCTCAGTGTGCTCAGTAGAACTTTTACCTAATGACAGTCAATAAATACAATTATAACAGGATCTTTGTCTAATTAGTATGTTCACATTTGGTACAATTGCCATAATAACAAATGCCTGACCGCGGATGTATCTCTGAATCAATATGTTAGAAATAAATTCCAAGGCCCGAGTTCATATGTCGTACAACATTGTAAGTAGAATTGAGGAAAGAAATTGGGGAGCAGTTCGATCGTTTAACATCTCTTTTACGACTTTGTCATCACTAACAACTTTTGGAGGGGTGATTTTCATATTACTCCTATCTCGCTCTGATCCTCGTTTCGATAAAAGATTTGAGCAGGAAATCTTTTTTGCTTTAAACGGATCAAAAGCTTGATACAAAATTACAGGCTATTGGTATTAAACCAAATCAATATATAGTTAAGGGGAATCTGATAACATATTATAGATACTAATACTACTTGTCTTGTTCCCTTTTCCATTCGCAGTGAAAAAGCTAGGCATCTTGGATCAGAAATAACCTGAATGACACATTCTACATATTACATTTCCCTTGGCAATTTGATTGATGATGAAATAGTTAACCGGAAGGTATTCGGTGTGAACTGTAATTTGATGGGCTTGCATATTGCCGGATCATTCATCACATCTAATGTGTTATATGATCCCATTCCATGTCGATATACATGAACGGGTAAGTGTCTTTATTGATAACGCAAGTGGGAATACGATAAATTCTGACTGAAGTTTAAATATGGCATAGTTCGACATTATAAACCTAATTATCGATAGACAGGTAAGTCAAAGAGAAGAATAAACCAGCTAATAATGGTAACGCAATTACAGTGTTATATTCCCCACCTTATAACTGTAATGATCACGTTTGTTTAGATAAATTAATCAATTTGTTATCAGATCCATTGTTAGGTCAAACCAAGTTTCTCTACCTACAAACAAAGACCATCTTCAGTACACTGATAGATACCTACGGCAGTTCGAACACCCAATTCCGCTTACTTACCAAGCTGAATGTTACTCTCACCAAATAACCTAAACCCAAAACTTTCATAAAATGGGATCAAATGCTGGTGGCTAATCAACGCCGCCTTCTCGTATTTCCTTTGTTGCCTTATCCTTGTTATGTATTCGTTCATCATCTGTGAGGCTAGTCCTTTACGCCGGTATGCTCTGTCTACACAAACAGAATGTATGCACACTGTTCGACCCTCCGGTTCATGCTGAGTCATTGATTCGGCAGTTATAATATTGGTAGAAGACCCGGTGCCGGCAATATAACCTATTAGACGGTCGGAATCCGCAAGGTATGCCCCGAGGAAAAGGTCGGGGCAATTAGCCTCACGGTATCTAAACTTGTCAATTGGTTCTGCTTCATCTGCTGGGAAGCCTGCGAAAAAAACGGGCGTTGAGGGTTGATGGGGCGCAAGTGGATTAACGATAAAAGTACTAAACGTTCTTACAATCGACTTCAATCTGATGTGCTCGATCAATGTCCGATGCGATGACCGGTCTGAAAATCACATTGAGATCTTCAGATATTGTCGTTGCCATAAATGTTATCAGATATCAGAGTGATTGTTGGTAAAGTTTATTCTCATGTGGAGTTCATTTATCGTGAATGAACAAAGTTGTGTGATTGGTGTTACTTAGCATAATAGTAGTAAAGTATAATTCCTATTAGCGTTAATAATAATAACGATTGTCTGACACTAGCATTTTTACGCCATTTTGTGATTATGTGTTTGTTAATTGTCATTCGTTTTTAGGCATTGATTTTCTATACATTGTTATGGTTTAATACTGTTGCTCATTGGTTCATTCGTCACTTGACAGTAAAAAAAGAATGCAGATCAGCGGGAAAAAAACTTGTCAAAATTTCGTCATCGGGCTGGACAATACAAAAGGCCGACATTCGCTTGATACAATTGTGCATTAAATCTTCTGATAAATAGCGTTGGTTTTGAACTCACCAATTTCATCAGTTATTATGACTTTCACTGATACACTCAGCGAGCAAACTGGCATACCGGAGTCATCTCTCCGCCTCTTGTTCACTATAATTTTCGCATACCCGATTGCAGTTATCTACCGCATTTTCTTGCTACGGCCTATCGCATCCAAGTATGCAGCATCAATACGCCAATGGTACATTCTAATAACTGGCCTATCTCTATCTTACTTCTACAATCGCCATGATATTATTCATTCTCTAATTACAACGACGGTCACTTGGATATTCTGTTACATTGGAGATAAAATAGGAAGCAGAAGTTTGGGTACAGCGGCAGTGTTTATATTTAACATGGTATATTTGCTGTTAGGATACATATACATGAGTACAGACGAATATGATGTCAACTGGACTATGACACAATGCGTGTTATGTCTGAGGATGATCGGGTTCGCTATGGATTACATGGATGGAGCGAAATTGATCAACAAGAAAGCGTCAACTGAGACTGCACAACGGGAAAAGACAACGCCTAATGACCAACCCGTATCAACAACTCGACTCGCGAAACAACCTAAACTTCCAATATCTTTCCAAAAGAACATCGCCCTTCCCACTCTGCCCTCTTACATTTCCACCATCGCCTACGCACACTTCTTCACTGCCTTTCTCACGGGACCTCAGTTTTCATACCATCTTTATCAGACCTTTATCAATATGCGCTCATACCCCGATCCGTCACGTATCCCCAGGGGATCATATAAGCACGCTTTTCAATGCATAGCTGGGGGTGCTATTTATCTATTGGTCAGTCAAATTGGGCAGATGTTTTTCCCTCAGTACGTGCTTGTAAGCGAGGAGTTTGCAAAATGGGACACTCTGCACAGATTTGTTTACTTTTGGATGGTTGGCAAGTTCGCCTTTAGCAAGGTAAAGGAATGAGGTGGTTGGGATATATTCCGGTTCTTTTGCGCTGGAAAATAAAGCAGTCAGTGACAATAGCGACGCGTTTTTCATATTGATAGCATGATCGCTTAATATTCACCTTTTTTTCTTGTTCTCGCATGTAGTACCTTGGCGTGTGGAAATTAGTTGAAGGTTCGTGCGCGTTGTTGGGTATATCATTCAATGGTTTTGATGACAATGGACAACCAGAATGGAACGGATTGGCCAACGTCGAATCAGTAAGTAGAAATGAATGAATATCGGCTTTAACGTTCATACCAATAATGCTAATCATTATTTTCAAACCCTCTGCCTGCGTTCCTTTTATCTTTGTCCTTTTTTAAAATAGCTGCGCTTTGAGTTTGCGACTTCCCTGAATGACATCATTTCGTCGTTCAACATAAACACTAACCTATGGGCAAAGATATACGTCTTCAAACGTTTGATCTTTCTCAATTCCAAGACCATCTCTTCCCTTGGCGTTCTCTTCTTCTTGGCTCTCTGGCATGGTTTGCATACCGGGTACTTTATGTGCTTTTTCTTAGAGTTTGTGGACATGGAGGCTGAGAAGCGTTGGTCGAAGAGGGTCGAGTTTATTAAGAAAAGTTTGTACGAAAAGAAAATGAAGAATGGTATTTCGGGAAAGCTTGCATGGGGAGCATACAGAGTAGTGTGCTGGTTTCTTCAGACATGCGCGTTACATTATGCAATGGTGGCTTTCGATTTGTTGAGATATGAATGGTGTATAACGGCGTGGAGAAATGTGTATTTTGCTGGCCATTTCGTGGTATTCGGTCTTATATTCTTGGACTTGGTTTTACCAAAGGGACGAAGTGCGGGCCCCCGGAAGGTCGAAGGAAAGCAGCAAGAAGAGACTGCATTACTGAAAGATACGATGGAAAAGGCGAAGACAAATGGTATCAGTAACGGAGTGAATGCTGAATATTCCGTTCATCATAAAAAAGAATAGTCAATTATATTGGCCCAGAAAATAATTAAATTCATTCTCCTGTAATTACTTTTTTTTTTGTATTTAGTTTGCATTTAATAATGGAGGAATATGCAACACATAATAAATTTTGACGTGATTTTATATTGCATAACTTACAAGTGCCGTGTAAATGATGTTGAATGGGTGTCGTGATTAAAACGTGAAGACGAGTCGTTGGTTCGTAAAGCTTTGGCGCAGTCTAAATCGCTATCCTGTCAACGTAGAAGAAAGTATCGCTACGTGGACAGTTAATGTAAAAAGACTGTTAAATCAAGTCAGAACTTCGCGTAGACGTCAGAATGTACAAGTAAGAACGAGGCAATATGTAGATGTCTTGGGACGGTATTTGGTTATGATTCGTTCACGCTTATGAATATTCGATGGGTTTATTGTTAAATTATAATGAGATGTATTGTCTTCTTTACACTTGCATTCCGTATAATTGATTTGGATAGATTATAAACTTAAGAATCACTACAAAATGTCCGCGTTTTTAACCTATAATTCAAATTTAGGATCAAAAAAGAATCAGTTAAATTAAAATAATAAACCAATTGGTTGTGTTTTCAGAAAGGAGTTACATGATCTACACTTTTTTTTCATATATTTCGTGTGCAACATAGATAATACCATTTTATCGGACAGCAGGACTAAAATATATCACCATTTTCCTCGAAAGGCATAGAGTTTTTCGAAGAGAAAAAGATTTTTCATGTGTGATCAGCAAAATCGTGAATACTTTTGTCAAGTGAGTGTAAGATTTTCTCACTTACGGTTAATAAATGTGCTAATCCTAGACAAGTAATTGCTCTCAAGATCAAAAATACTACGGTTCCTATAGTAGATAGCCTGCCGGGCCGGGGTCTCCATAAATAAATAAATAAATAAATAAATAAATAAATAAATAAATAAATAAATAAATAAATAAATAAACAAACAAATAAATGGCGCGTCCCACTAAACAATTAATTATACGAATTTATATTTTGCTACACCGCGCGCACAATAAAGATCAAGAAATAAGCATCCTAAAATGCCCACACGGATAATTACGGGACAAGAGGTGTCGATATAAGAGTTAGCAAATTTCGACAAAATAAGAATTCGTGATTTAAATTTAACTGCAAGATTAATATTTGGGGCAGACTGCAACAAAACCAGACAAAGTGAACATTCTATAAATGAGGGGCTGATTGTGATGTGAGTGCAAAATTGATCAGGGTGACTGATGATGTTTTGCCTTGTTGATTTTAATGCTCCCTTTATCATACCAGAAGGTGAGGAATATAAACCATAACAGGAGCAATATAGGATTACCTCTATATATAAAAATA